GCAGGAATCAGGTGTCACCTCTCCATGCTAGGAGGTCGGCCTGACGTGAGTTGCTCCCCGCACCCCCGCCTCCTGTGGCAGCCTGCTGAGTTCTGCGCTGGCCTCCGCTTGGAAGCGGCCACCTGCCCCGCGGAGGGGAGCTGGAGGACCCTGAAATAAACCCTCCGCAGCGAAGCTGTGGCCCCTGGCCCCGCAGCTGGCCTCTGAGGGGCGCCGGGAACCTGAGCGGGACTCTGGGGCGCGTCCTGCGCAGAGACGCGTACAGGGGACGGGCTGCTCCGTCTCCTCTGTTTTCTTTAACAGGAGTCTCCGTCTTCTCCTCCAGGTTAACCCCAGGCAGCAAGAACCTGACCCCTCACCGTCTGCCGCCTCGCCTCGCCTCGGCTCAGTCACACACTTTCCCGCTAAAGAAGGCCACGGTCAGGGCAGGAGCAGCCTGGCTCTGAGGGGAAGTGTCTACGCGGCTTCACCTCCCGCAGCGGCCGGCCTCGCCTAGCAGGCATCCCCGAGCACAAACCGTGTGTGCACACGCATGCGTGGTGCGTGTCCCTTTATAACTTACAACGTGCTTGTGAGCCCACCACTCCATTCAACTCCTAAAACTGCCTTATAAGGCGCTGCTACTCCCCGCATTTTACTCAGAACACCATGCTTAGGGAGGTCAGCTGACTCGCCCAAGTTCACAAAGCAGAACTGGGACTTGACTCCAGACGCCCTTTTGCTCATTCCACACCCTCGCGCTGCACCCCTAAGACATGGCCCCTGCCCTCAAGGCACTGAGAGGTCTCCCCAGTATCAACAGGCTCAGAGTGAGAGGGCACCCAGACTCCCAGGACAAGGCTACACACGGGGTGACCCACCCCACCCGCTGGGCTTACAGGTCAGGGTTGGTACCGAGCAACAAGTGAGGACAGCAAAATTCTGGGGCCAGACCGGCCGATGCTGTTCAGGCCGCTGCACTGTGGCTCAGGAGGGCCGGGAAGCCCAGTGGAGGGGGCCGGCTCCTTCAGCCATGGCGGTGGGACGCTCCCAGTGTGTAGGTGTGGTTTGCCGACAGGCAGGGTGGCTCCTTCCTCTGGCTGGTTGTCTTTCACACTATGAATCACCATGGGGCAGGAGGGCGCTGACTGCGTGCCCTGACTTCCTCATCCTGGGGGGCAGCCGTGGTTCTCAGCTCGGGCCGCCCGTCAGAATGGCCGGTGGAGCCCGTCACAGCCAGGGGGGTCTGTGCCATCGGGGCCAACGACCCCCGACTCTCCCCATGAGGGGTCAAACTTGTGTTTCCACAGCTCCTAGGGAACTTCTGATGCGGAACCAGTGTCGGCAGCTCAGGGAAAAATATACTCCAGGCAAAGCCCTGGAAGTGTACCTCCATTTTGGTCCCAGGCTCAATTCTGCCACAAACTAGAAGCCCCTATCTCCTGCCTACGACTTTATCTGAGGTCCAGTCTCCTCCAATGTTCACCGGGGTTAAGCGGGGCCACGAGCTACCGCAGGGAGCCAAGCTGGCTCTGCAGGAACTCATACACTGCGCACACCTAGAGGCGTGGCGGGAACAGCACAAAGAGGAAAAATAACAGAAAACAGAAAAAACAAAGCAAAGGAAGGGGCAGGACACCAACAATACACTACCCACCACACTGCAGCGGGTTACCGGGCTAAACGCCTGCCTCCCCTTTAGGCTTTGAGCACCTCCTGGTCCCGACTTGACAGCTAACTTTTCTCGGGCTCCCCAGCGCCTGGCACAGAACGGCTCATCCACGCTTGCTGGTGACTATTAGAAGCCTGGCCCGAGGCCAGGAGGGTGCAGGGGAGGCAGCAACGGGGAGCCATGCAGACAGAGGTGGGGGAAGGCTTCTTTTAAAGTTGATCCAAACACTCAGCGGCCACCCCAGGACCGCCTGTGCTGAAAGGAGGCTCCGAGACGGGGAGAAGCTGCCACGGAGGGGAATGAACTCAGCGTCCTGGCAGGTGGGGGCGGCCCCGCTCACCCCCGACAGCTGCTTCCCAGCAACTGTTTGGGGGCAGGGCGACAGGCAAAGGGGCAGCTTCCCAGCCGAACCGAGCCCTCCCCAGGGCCCAGCCTACCCAGACAGGGTGTCAGTGGCATGTGCTATTTCGAACAGCGTGTCCCCTGCCAAGCCATTGCTGGGTGGCGTCTCTGGCGAGGGACCCGGCACGGCCCATGGGTTCGGGGTACCCCAGAGGTCTCGGAGCCGGGCCGCAGGAGGCTGGGCCGGCGGGCGGGGGTCTGGGGCGAGGCGCTCAGCGCCGGCCTCGTCCCCCAGCCTGACCCCGCCGCGCCTCGGCCGGATTTCCTAGCAGCCTCGGAACCCTCGGTTCCCAGGAAACGCGTGCCTCCCGTTGCCTGGTAACGACGCCCCCTGTTGCATAGCAACAGGGATCCGGGTCCTCAGTCGGACCCCTCCCCAGCAGTGCCCGCTTTTTTTATGCGCCCTCCCCTCCCGACGGTGTTTTTCCCCGAGCTTTCCCACCGGGAGCGCCGTGGGGTGGGCGGCTCGAGCTGGGAACGGAAGTCTGGCGGGAAAGGGGAAAGGCGTGACCACATCTGGGCTGCAGGGTGGGTCAGCTGCATCTCTGAACTCGGGGTTCGAAGCCCACCCGCCCCTCCAGCGCCTCGGCATTTGGGGCGCTGTCGCGCCTGAGCGCCGCGGTGCCTCCTGGGCAGTGTCCTAAGGAAGGGGCGCCCCAGAGCCCTTGGTCTTTTCAGGAACTTTTCTCGCCGAAAAGGCACAAAGGGAAGCGGTGCTGGAGCAGTTTCAGCCGCGCAGCCGTTCCCTCTGAGAGCAGTTCCACGCCCGGCCTGCAGGTGGCGCCCAGCGGTTGAGTTGCAGAGGAGGGGGGGCGCCAACTCTCCGGCCCCATCTCTGCTGAACACGGGCAGCATTGGGGGGGTCGAGGGGAGGGGAGTGGGGGCGGATTTGGAATGAGGTGACCCCTTGCCAGCTTCATCTCTCTGAGTCTCAGTTGTGTGGAAATTCAGTGAGGTAACAGTGCGCACTTAAAAAGCATCCCAGCCGAAGCCGGTTTGGCTCAGTGGATAGAGCGTCGGCCTGCGGCCCCGGGTTCCATTCGGTCAAGGGCACCGGTGGGGGCACGTGCCGGAGGCAACCAATCGGTGTGTTTCTCCGTCTTTCCCTCTCTCTGAAAATCCATGGGAAATTATCCTCGGGTGAGGATTAAAACAAAAACAATGAAGTCACACAAAATTGATCTCATTTTTTAAAAACATCTCAGTCGCTGTTTCAATGCTTAGATGACATCGGCTGCCCTGGGAGAGCTCGCCTTTGATGCTAAAGCAGTTCCCCAAACTCCACACTCCCTTTCCCCGACTCATCAGCCTTCCAACTCTGTCTTCTTCCCGGACCCGCCGGCACAGGAGTTAGCAACAGCCTGTCGCCCCTTCCAGGTGTTTCTTTCCCTCGGACGTTGGCCAGAGCATCCATCGTGCTCTGGACCCTCCGCCACGGGTCTCTCTTCCCGACAGGCTCTGTGGCATCCTGGGCCTCGCCTTCCAGAAGCCTTTCTAACAGTTGCGTCAAGTTTATTCAAAGCGCTTTTTGAATATTAGGTCCTCACAACAACCCTCTGAGTTAGTTGCAACCCTTGTTGTCACCCCCCGGTTTTACCGATGCGGGGGTTGAGGCAGAGAAGTTCACAAGTTTACCAGCTGGAATTCGGGCACACACAATCCGACCTCAGAGTCCACGCTCTTGGGCACCATGTCATACTAACCTTCACTCCTGCAACTTCTGCCCTTCTCATTGTTTGTGCTGTCCCTCCTCTTGGGGCGGCCTCTGTGCTGCTTCTCTTCCATCTGCATTTTGCCCACGGGTCAGCATCAGCCACACCTCTTCGGCGAAGAAGACACACCTGTCTGTCCTGCTGCTTGGTCTGGACCCCCTTATAGCTCACCCCATGATTTCTGGGAGTATCGTATTTTATAGGTATCCACAAAGAACCTTACACAATCTGAGTTGGAAGGGAAACAGAAGTCATGTAGGAAAGAGGCAGAGGAGCTGATGACTGCCCGAGATCTCAGAGCAAATTGGGAGTCCAGGCAGGGCCAGCACGGCTTTGGCCAGTGGCTGCTTTCTTCACCGGGTCACCTAGCAGGCTCTCTAAGGCAGACCTCAAGAATATGCGTCTTACCAAGTTTGTTAGGAAATGCTCGCGTCCACTTCAGAGTTTGCAAGATCGAGGCCCCGTGGCCCAGCGCGCATAGGTCTCAAAAAGGTTGCGAAAATGCTTTGGTTTTAAAATTCCCGCTGCATCATGGGAAGTGTAGTTCCGGACCTCTCCTCTGCCTGCCGCAGGGAGCATTTTACGGAAGGAGCCGAGTTGGTCCGGAAATAGCCGAGTGTTCCCTGGCGCGCCCTTTCCTGCCCCGTGGCATTCTGGGAAAGGGCAGTTTCCGTTAAGTACAGGCAGAGGCGCGCGATCCGCCGCAGTCGCACGTGAAGGGCTGCGCGATCGTCGCTCGGGGTGGTAGCTCTCCGCTGGCCGCGGAGCGTCC